AAAAAATTTAAAAAAATAAATAAAAAAAAAAAACAGCAAACAAGCGACAATTAATTAGAACCTTTTTTTTGGCAGCATCCACCCACATTTTGGTTGATAATTAAATCAAAATTAAAGCAAGGCTAGAGCAAAAATACAACAATTCCACAATAAACTTTTTTCGTCTATAATGAAATTTGATTTAATAAAAATATTATTAATATATGCCAAAAGTTCAAAGAGAAAAGTGAAAGAGGAAAAGAAAAATCAAGCCGCAAATTGACTCGTAGCAAACAAATTCAATTTGGGATAATCACATCAATTGCATTAAGATGCGAGTTGAAATTTTCGAAAAATTCATAACATAAAGAAGGGGAACAGGGAATGGGGAAGGCAGCAGGAGAGAGAGGGGGAAGGAAGGCTAAGGCGCCCTTTAACACTTTTGTCAAGCTGAATTTCAACGAGCTCATAAAAATTAACAAAAGGGGGTAAAATGCAAGCATATGACGCTAATCCGAGGGCCTTAGACCACAGTTGGAACGTCGAGGCCGTAGACAGAAGGCATGAAAGCCAAACAGCCTTCGGACAGATTCTGGAACGCTTCAGCGCACTGGCAAGTGGCGAGTGTAACAAATGTGTGCCAGAATATCTATCAACTGGTCCTCGTTCAGGTCTTGGTCCTGGTCGTGGTCGTGGTCGTGGTCGGGGGTTAGGTTAAGTGCATCAAGGAATCAGAATCAAAATCCGAATCAGAATGGAAAACTACAATCAAATTAGGGTGTGATGGCTAAACAATTGTCCCCCGTGGCAAATTTAATGCCACAGCAGCCAGAACCTGCTCGTTCTCTCTCTCTCTCTCTCTCGCTCTCTCTCTTTCTGTCTGGTCTGCTTGTCCTAATGGCACCCTAATTGTATGTGTAAATATATTTTGCGGATTACAGGGCGTCAATGTCGTCGCGCGTTCGGATAAGATCGAAAAAAGTAAGCCAGAGAGAGGGGAGCGCGCGAGGGAGTGTGAGCGAAAACCTTTTGACAAATTACAATTTAATTTAAATGAACTACATAAGTGATTTTTTATTGCATATCCCTTTTTTGTGTGTGTCTCGGGCACAGAAACTTTAACAGTTGCGGGTCTTAACTATTTGACTTAAGTGTCTGCTGAATTGCTCTTTTCAAGTAGATTAGAATTTTCAGCTAGCCAAGTTTACTTCTAAGAGATTGATTAAACATTTGAGGTGGATTTTTGTTATAGAAAACTCTTGTGTTGCGAGAGATGGTTTACTCTAATTCTTGACTTCTGAAAGTATATTAAAATACATACATATATCCGTAATATATAGATTAAATATCACTGTCTTGAGTGCGATAATAGATACAATGCTTGACCTTCTTATGAAAAGCAAATCTTTGCTTAACAGCTAGATTCTTTATACTCTATGAAAGATCATTCATATTATAGATATTATATTATAGACTAGATTAATATGCTATACATATACTATACAACTTATTAAGTATACTTTCTCAACTAAAAATTCCTGCTTTGTTAATGTCTTCCTCTTCATTCTTGCCCTCTTCCACAGAGCTGCACAGTCCTGCGCGCCATTGTTATACACCACCGCCGCCGCCTCATGGCCCGGCCGCCACATCTGTGGCGCCACCGGCAGCTGGCATAGGGGCACAGACAACGACGCCGAGTCGCCTGCTCAGCTGGAATCACAGTGCAGCCGCAGCGGCCGCCGCGGCAGCAGCAGCCGTTGCCTCCAATCATCAGGCGAATGCAGCGGCTGCGGCTGCAGTCGCCGCGGCAGCGTCGGCAACAGCTGCTGGTCAATCGGGCTCAATCGGGGATCAATCGGGCATGGCACGGCTCAAGGGCCAGAACCTGGGACTCATCTGTGTGGTGTGCGGCGACACGAGCTCCGGCAAACACTACGGCATCCTCGCCTGCAACGGTTGCTCGGGCTTCTTCAAGCGCAGCGTGCGACGCAAACTCATCTATCGGTAGGTAAAAGTACAAACCCACTTGGGTTCAAGCCCAGGCGCGCATGTGTGCTGGCAAGTGGGTGGGTTGGCTGGCTGTGTGCCTTCTGGCCTGTCTGGCGGATTACCCAAAAATTTATTACAATTATTCAAATCTTTGGGATTTGAGCGTCAACTTTTGAATGCGTTTGACTTTGCCCACACAAATCCCCGTTGAGCATCATCTGCAACTTCAGCTTGCTCTTCCCCTCTCTCTCTCTCTCACTCACTGATTTTATTCCATTTAAAAATTGAAGGAAAAACAAATGTTGAAGCCTGCGCGCACAAATTGTAATTGAATTTAAAGTGCGGATTTAATTTTATGTTTGTTTTTTTGCCACTTTTGCCAGCCGGCAAGGGGGCAGAGGGGCAGGGGGCGATATGTGAGTAACTGTAGCGAGCGTTGTTAGCGGAATGGCTATGCGTGGTACAGTTTTATATACATCCTATACTTAATTTTGGCATATGATTATAGGAGCTGTGCTCAAAAATAAACTCGAATTAAATTAAAAAAAAAATGATTTTTAATTATTTTATTATTATTATTTCTATCAGCTATTATATGTACTATACGTTAAA